GCGACGTTTTATAAACACCACGAATGCTTTTCCAATCACGCCAATGCGCAGGCGGCGATAAACACACCACGTCCGCGCGACCGACGGCTACGATACAAACGAATTCAGTAATTTTAGAACGGACGCGCTGATGAAAGTTGCCATAAAAAACGTTATCGCCTTAACTTGAATGGAGGAGGGCGTTCAATAATAGACTCTCCAAGTAAGTAAATAACTCAGCTTAATAAAGTAATAACAACAGCGGCTAATGGAGTCCGCGTATACATTAAACGAGCGAATGCCCCGTTCCCCGTAACTAGGGTTAGCAGATGATAAAATCAAAAGTCCGGAGAAAAGGCTTGATTTCCATTGAAAAATCCTGAGATTTTCTACAGTTTGAGAATTTTCTCTCAAACGTACTTAATTCAATTTAAAAAAATGGTAATATTATCGTTTATACTCTGCTTATACTTTTAAATCAATATAATTTGAAGAGCTTAATATGTGTGGCATTATATGAATCCATAATTAAAGAAAAAAACCTTACTTAAAATGTATATTCACATATTAAGTATGATAAAACTGATTAAGTTAAGATCAACTTGGATAATAAAGTACCCATTTTAATTGTGCAATTATTACCAAAAGATTATTTTTAGTTTGTTTAACTTTTTATTAGAGAGTCCAAAAATCCTGAAATATGGTAACCCTACCCGAAACGGATACGGAGATTATGCCAAATACAGTCGGGCAGGCCAGTACCATTGTTGCCGCGGCGCAGCTGTAGCGGAGTTCTCACAGACCAAAACATTATACTCACTATAGAGTTCGGTTTCACGCGAACGGGCACGTACACTATTACCATAATAGTGGGCGTCCACATATTTTAATATACCGTCACGTTTACCCTTTGCCGTGCGGTGGAATTTAATCAGCTAGAAAACGATTCCAGGAGGTGCCTACGCGATTAGTTCGGCAAGAGCGGGCCGACATGCAGCCCGAGGTATGCCCGTCGGTCGGTAAATAACGCAAGCCGGCTTTGAAGCTGCGTGTCCCTTTAATTACGGCGGCGCGGCGCTATCTCGCCGGTATCAGCTGACTGAGCGCGTGTATGTCCCCCCCCCCTCCTCCCCCGCCCGCGGTCCCTCCCCTCCCCCCGCCGTCTGCCGGGGCCGCTCCCCGCTGCGCACACAGCCACGCCGCCAATCAGCTGATCGCAGTAGGTCGCGGCGCCACGCTGACACGCCGGCCGCCATCGCTCCGGCCGCAAACGCGCGACCTAGCCCTCCCGAAAATACACACCCGGCTATATTGAGTGCCGACCCGAGTAGCATGCCTTGAACCGACTTTCGAAAGCGTTCCCCGTTGTAAAACCGAACACAGACGCACTAATGGCGAGGCGATGTTCCGAAAAACCGATCGGAGCGCTTTGACGGCTCAAGGCTCAAAGGAAACGCGAACCTATTTATAATAATAATCTAAAATGTAGCCAAACGCTCCTTCCGGAGGCGAGACATGAAAGCGTTCCGATCCCTGGTGCCGTCCTGCTCGCACGAGCTGCGCTAGAGGAGGACGGCTGCAGGAGGCGAGCGGGACGCGCCGCTGTCAAGTTCGGTGCTTAAAATGGCCGATGCTTGCTTAGTTTCGTGATCGCCTAGGGAGGGGGCCATGTCGATAATATTATGTTTTATGACGGCGGGTGGCAGGCGTACATAAATTGGGTTTTCGTTTTACGAGAGATAATACTGACGATAAATTATACTCGAATTTGGGGAATAGAATTCCACCCGGAGTGTTTTTCCACTTTACACGAATTGGAAGAGGTACAGTCGAATATAACTACTGGTGACGTTCCGAGGAAGGAGGCAATTATGCAGCGTTATCAGGTCGTGACCGAGACATAGTTCGTTTTAAATGATTATAGTATTCATAGGCAGTAACTTTGCAATCATCAAGCAATATCCTAAAACCTGAAAATAAAAACCTAAATGATTGTGAACTGACATCATTCAAGGTAATCCTAAAGATAAAGTTATCCAAAAGTGCTTTGATCAGTAACGTGAATGATATTCCATTTAATAAATTTCTCCAACCTCGACATAGGTTTAAGAAGTATGCAGCTAACTTCATAAATACGTCATATCTTTCGCGAAATTAAAAATCTCTTGCAATAATATATTGAAGTATCAAGAAATTTAATGTGTAATAAATAATACAGAAATTATGGCCAAAATTATTGCACACTGCAAAAATCCGAGCAGAGAATGAAAGTCATAAAAAGCGACAATAAAGTTTTTACTGTCGTTTCGGTGATAAAAATAATACAGACCCAGTGTGTCGGTATATCACGGAGGTAGGGACAGAAGACTATGTAACTCTTACATGCTATGCTATTAGAATAGACGGACGTGTTGGTGGTCAAGAGGCGGGTCAGGGCAATCATCCATTAGTCTCGATAGTTATTTCATGTTTATTACTTGGATGCTAATTTAGCGCGTCGCCGCCTGAAATCGTGTAATGGAGTCAGTTCTCACAGCGTGCGTGAGGAGTAATGGCCGCTCTCGCCTCCAAAGCTGCGTGCGGCTCGAATCTATCTGGCCACATCTTAATTAGGCCCGCCGCAGCTAATTGCCAACAATCCGTATGTAACGAATCATTATAATCAATGTTTTATTGTAACTCCTCTGCGCCCGGTGGACTCGTTTCCCTGAATAGGTAGGTAGGTAGGTGTATGAATAATTCCCAACAGCCATTGTGGATTATTCACGACTTATTGTGTGTCTTTCTAAAAGAAAATAAAACATGCAATGAATGACTTGCTAGGCTTTTGTCTGCTCAATAGTTTTGAAACGGCGTCGAGGCTACGTTCTGCTAACAATGCTAAACGGGTACACCACTTCTAGAAAAAAAAGCAAATACATATCTCTCCGTTTCCTATTGTTTGTTCTTTGTTAAATATTTAATGGTTCTCTTTAATTACAGTGGAATTATTCATTATGTTAGAAATCATAATATCAGTAATAGCTTGGAAGGTGCATGGGCTTTAATGTATATTTATTCTTAAATTAAAAACAGGAACTATTCCTATATTCAAGGGTAGCATTACAAAGAAAATTGCTACCACGATAAATTATTGTTCTGATTGTTTTTCAGTTTGTAATTCATATCAAATTCGCCATTTAGAAATGGGATAATTAGATAAATTTCATAAATTTACGTCATTTTGACTTATTTTTTACAAAGTAGTTTAACTGTCCCAGTCACTGTTATCATAATACATTATAAACACCTTTGTGTATAACGATTTAACGACTGCTGATACAAATTTGTTTTTCATTTTGGGAATAATAACATTGTTACGTTATTGACAATAGCCTTTAAAACATTTTTACTTTAATGTGTCTGTAATATCATTTGATCTGAATGCTTTGATAGGAATAGACAATTAACAATTTCGATTAAGCTTTTAACATTATTTATCGTTAATATAATAACTATTAGACTTAATTTTCGTACTGGAAAACATTATGAAGTTCAGGATAATGTTCCAAAGACAGTGAACTAAAAATATTAGCATTTTAATATAAAATAACTTCTTTACAACTTCCTACACCCAAACATATGATCCTTGCTTTAGTTTCATTTTATAAAATAATTTTACATTGGCGTATTCCATTAATCTTTTTTACTATAGGGGATAACATTTTATTATAGTTTGTTTTATTTGATACAATTCTAAATTTGACAATGCCAAAGGAGAATGAAAAGGAGTGGCTTCATGGAGAGACTGCTGTCGAATTTAGTTTTAAGTTTGGGGAATCATACCAGAATTAAACACTTGGGCAAAATTAACTAGTACTTTAGCTTGCACTGTGTCTACTTCGTTAATTCGAGAATTATCAGAATTTCACAAATGACGATGGATTACATTTCATTTCCTTCCAAAGTCTTCATTATCCGCTTAGAACATATCAATATTTATAAACAATTGTTGTAGTACTGCAAAATTTTCCGATTCACATTGTTCGATGCAGTGAAACAATAATATTTTCGTAAATCCCCTCTACCAGTTTTAATAACTACAATTAAAGTGACTGTGAGTGAGAGTGACAGAGTTTAATTACATTGTAATTAAATTGTGTTGTCTCGAGATAATAATTCAAAGAGATGAAACAAGAACTATAAATTTTAAAACTGGAAGACATTTATTGGTGTTACAATTGCTCCATTTGATTACGGACTAATCACTGGGCAATTATTTTGATTTAGGCTAGTTCTGACACGTTTTAATGTGAATAAATTGCAGTGAACATGTTTAAAGTTAAAGATAGGCAATTATTTATTATTATTCATTTACTAAATACTAGTTACAGGAAATGGAACTAATGAAAATTAGGCAGTTGCTTTATTGCAATCCACGACTAATATTAAACATTCCAATCCAATGATTTATCAGCTTTGTGAATCGAGCATTCGCTGAGGCATTACTGATAGAAAAAGTATATGCTAACGCATCGATAGATAATGCAATGTATTTTCATTGTTTGTGATTTTCATACGTTATTATTATTTTGGCAAGCGAATGTCACTAAACATAATAATATACATTATATGTATAAGTTTTAGTGGATTCAGAAGCAAAAATAATGATGTGCAGCAGAGCGTAAACCGAAGTGCCGCAATTGAAGTCGTCTTACTGATAGTATTCAGAATTTGATCTAAAGTTCAAAACAGCAGGAATATTTTCAGACCAATGCTATTTCTCGTATAAGATAAGTACCATATTTTGAATTGAGAGCAAGCTGAGTGTATTCTCAGCTGTTGGTTGCGATACTTACGGCAAGTAAACATCCAAGAATTAGAGATTGTCGTGCGAGTTGGCACTGACTGGCACTCCTGGGGCATTCCACTAAGTGGGCACTGTGGCACTGAGCTCGCTCGCACGCACATCACTGTCCGACGCATCACTGCACACATCACACTAACCGGGCCGCATGGAGATAAATAAAACGATGCATTAAGGATTTTTGTAAAAAGATAGTTATATTTTTGGCATTGGACTATGACACAATATAATACTATGATATGCTAAGTAAGCGTTTTATAAAGACTTTTACATGCCGAATATTCGTTAATCAGACTATTCATCAGAGGACTCTTTATATATATAATTTTAACAAACATAACCGCTTACAAAATGAGAGTAGAGATACGTTTCTAGTTTACCGCTCGGGACTGCTCTAGAACTCATCACCTAGTCGAAAACATAACTATTTCTAGTATTATTCGTAATATTTTTCTCACTTTCATTTTTTTTACTCTATAGGTACATATTAATTATAATACAATTTTTGAACATATATTTATCGATATGATATCTTATACAGAAATACGCAACGAATCGGCGACGGTACAATAATTCAATCGCGAAGCGTCGGTTACTGCGTTTGCGAATAAATATTTTCGTTGGTGGGTATGCACTAGGGTCCCGCGGTCCGGCGATCCGGGGTTCGCCGGTGCCGGAAAACGATAACGCGAACGGTCCGGGTCCTCGGCGAACGACACATCACAATCGTCCGGTACAACAACACATAAATCAACGTTCAAACAATATCAACGCACATAGGTACTATTTGGTATCGGGTTCATCGCGGACGCGGCGGCGCCGGGTGCGCCGAGCGGACGCGACGCGGGGCGGGCGTCGGCGGCGCCGCACCGGCACTTATCACTCTAACTAATTACAACGAAACATCACAGAGACCGGGGCCGTCCCGGCGCCGCCGCTCGGCTACATGTAGATCGGCAGCTGCTGCAGCGCCCGCTTGTCGAAGCGGTCGTAGGGCGCGGCGGGCGGCAGCGCTCGCGCGATATCACAGTCCAGCGCCTCCGCGGGCAGGTACGGGTGCTGCTTGAGGCGCACCGCCGCGCGGGACACCTTGCCGCCGCCCGCCGCCAGCGCCGCCTCCGGCGCGAACGACGAGAACCGGTAGCACGCCAGCTGGCGCGCCGGCTCCTCGGGCAGGCGCTGGCGCTGCGCCTGCGCCGGCTGCGGCTGCGGCGGCGGCGCGGGCGGCGCCGGGGCGGCGCGGCAGCAGCGCCGGGGCTGGCGAGGGGCGCGCGCGCGGCTGGTCGGCGTCACCGCGGCCGCCGCGGCGGCGTCTCCTCGCGGCAGGTTGTTCACGAACGGGACCCGCCGCAGGCTCTCGAGCCTCCGGAAGTGCGACGGGTGGATCATGAGCAGCGGCTCGATCTTGACGCCCTGCGGCGGCTTGGCACAGTCGGGAAGCTCGTATTCGATACTGCAGTCTACGTGTAAAGGCACCGAGTAGTCCTTGGGGGCGAGCGAGGCGGGCCGCGCGTCCCGTCGGAAGCGGTCGGCGGCGGCGAAGTCGGCCTCGCCGCGGGCGTAGCCCGTCATGGTGGCGGGCGCGGCCTCACGGCATGTGCGCCGCGGGGCGAGCGCCGATCAGCTGATCGTGTACGGTCAGGGCGCGCGGACGTGCGCGCGGAGTGGCGACGACCGCGAGACTGGCGCGGGACAGCGCGCGCCTGCGCACCCCGCGCCCCGCGCCCCGACGCGGCCCCGCCTCCGGCTCCCCTCGAGCCCCGAGCCGCGCGCCGGGGAATCCTCTCGCGTCGATCGAATCGCGGCCGAGAGACGTGCGTGCGAGGCTCGGCGCGGTCGGCGCGCCGGGATCGATACCGGCGGCGGCGCGGCGGCGGCGTGCTGGCCGCGTCGAGGATGCGCAGGGATGCACCGCGCACGGAGGGGCGCAGGGGAGAGGCCGGCAGACGAATGTCAAACAGCTGACTACTGAGACATTCAAAATATTAAACAAACCAAATCAGTGAGGTTATAATGTGTTGAATACGGGAACCGAACCGAAAACCTGATTGTTTTTTTATCCAGTTCAACATATTGAAATGACTTTTCTTTTTTTATTTTTAACATGAGAATAAAGTAGTGTTAGCAGTGGATCCAAAATGAAATTTCAAGTATGAAAATTAATGAGACGGTAATAAAAGTCGTCCATGCGCCAGCTTTTGTGTATTTTTTTTTAATTTTACCTTCGTTTTATTTAAAATTCGTATGGATGATATCAAAAGTGCCTGTTATCGCTTATGTTAAATAAATTATTTCTGATTAGCCGATCATTTGCAATTTTTAAATAAATAATAAATGTTAGGAAATTTCAAACGTTAGGGTATACTGTGTGCTGAAAAGGATTTATGAATCTGAAATCGTAATAACAATATAATAAATTGAAATATAAATCTACTTCAACAAAGATATTGAGCAGTCCAATCTCACTAATAAAAAAAACATTTTGATTAAGTAATTCTCATTTTGAGAACACAGGAAATAACGACTTTACTAAAAAAGTTACTACCATTGATTCAAGAAAAAAGATCAGTATTTACTCAGTTGGTCGTAAATAACAGAGCGGAACAATTACTCTCTTTCTCTGATAACGGAAGCCTTTTTCAGCTTATCTTAATACCTAACTACTAAGATTACCGTTTCATGAAAGATAAACACATTTTTTCGCAGAGAACGGCCAATATTTACAGGTATTTTTCATTCGCTAAGCCCAATGAACACGAACTAAAAAGGTTATAGGTATCTTTATATTTATGAAACTTTTTAACTGATGATTGATGAATTGATGAATGAATGATCTCTGTTATAATGTTTATATTATAAATGTTGGAACAAATCGGATATTAAGACCGTTTTGTAGGGGACTTTTTGGCGGGATCGGGAAGCGTCACTTTAGCCGTTTTGTTTTTCTTGTTAAAAATTGTGTTGTGGCGGATGTTAGTGTCTAATAATAGTGGATTATTAACCACTAAGTGTTCGGGAACATGCACAAGTGTTGGCAAGTGAAACAAAATAGCGGAAAGTGTCTTTCGACGTTCCCTCAAGCAGTCCACGGGGAGGTTCCAGTAAATCCCCACACTTTTACTGAAACACGGGGAAAGGGGGATTGACTTGACTGCCACTTACTTTGACTTGACTTATTACTTTGACCACGAGTGCTATAGTATTTATATACCTACATTTAAGACTTGACATTGGCTAAATGCACAAGCCGTGCGAAGCCGAAGCCTTTAAGAAAAAAAAGACCGTTTTGTCCTAGGGTTAAACTGTAATCGCCATATTCCAGAACGCGGATTAAAGTTAGTCTCGGTTTAAACTGTCTCTGTCTCCGTTTTATGAAACAGAAGTGACAGCATCAGTTTTAAACAGGGTAATGCTTCAATCAACGTTTTTGTAATATGGCAGTAAATGAATATTTGATACGGAAAATCGTATTTTTCCATCATATGGAATAGGGAGATTGTATGTTGCGTGACCGACCACGCGGGCCTAGTGCGGATTGGCGGGTGCTAACGACTGCAGATGCAGCCGGAACCAACGGCTTAACGTGCCTTCTGAAGCACGGAGGAACTCGGGATAGAAGATTTTTTGGTCACCCACCCAATTACCGACCACTGCGAAAGTTGTTTAACTTCAACGATCGCAGCCGAACGCGCTAACCACCTGCACCATCGAGCTCCTCAAACACATTAGTTAATGTTTTTGAACACATTAGTTAATATTATTTACCAAACAAGAAATTCACTTGACATTTATAATATTGGAATTTGAGGGTAGGTATAGGTAGTGTGAATACGAGTGTCTTTAATATCAGTAGACAAGAAAGGTGGTGACTGTGTTTACTTACACGTAGTGCATTAATAAAAGTGCATAACTCAAGGACGTTTCGTGCGGGTCAAAGTTAAAGCAATTAGCGTGTAATACTGTAATCATTAAATAGGTAATAGGCATATTCTAGGCTGGCGTGTTATCCTAGGCCTCATCATCGCTTTCCATCAGATGAGATTGTGGTCAAACGCATTGCCTATTTTGCATAATAAAAAAAAAACAAAAATTTTGTTATACTTTTATAAGTTTGTAAATCTCTTATCTATTAGACAAGTCCGTCCGTCTGTCTGTGGTGCTGTTTCAGCGGCCAAACCGTAAGAGATAGATACAGAGAATATTTAAGTTATAAGTTATGAATAGTCTGATAAGACTACAAACCGGATTTGAGTAACGTAGCACTTCCGGTTTTCGAGAAATCCGGTTTTGGTGAACATTTGGTTCACTGGTTTGCTAGTAATTTCATAATTAACATCAATAACAATGACTAGAACAATTTTATTAATGTTGTAGTTCATTAAAAAGAAAAACAAATAATGAGTAAAGTATTTTTTTCTAAATATAATAAATTATTTTACTCGAAAACCGCAATAGATTTAATAAAATAATATATATATATATATATATAAATTTTAGCTTTTCTATGTAATAATAATTATTATTAGTTTAAATGCAATATTAGTTTACTATTTAAAAAAATCTGTGTTTTCGTAACTTAGATCCTGTAGTTTATTTAACAACATCGTTTTTACTGATGAGATAAGATCGATAAAAACCACTTGTATCTATCTACATACAAATACCGATCTCATTATGAGACTGCAATTAAAAACCAGGTTGACAATCTCTTATCTATTAGACAAGTCCGTCCGTCCGTCTGTGGTGCTGTTTCAGCGGCCAAACCGTAAGAGATAGATAAAGAGAATATTTAAGTTATAAGTTAAGAATAGTCTGATAAGACTACAAACCGGATTTGAGTAACGTAGCACTTCCGGTTTTCGAGAAATCAGGTTTTGGTGAACATTTGGTTCACTGGTTTGCTAGTATTGTATAATCAGCATACACTCTTGTCATGTTTTCGCAATACCTATGCTCGTTACTTCTTGTACCTAGTTATTTATTTATCCAAAAGAGATCTAGTTCACAGTTGCAGCGTCATCATGTTTGAGTCATACGCAACGATGCGTATTTTATATCGTTGGTCATATGTCTTGATTTAACTGTTTTAAGCCCCTTAAATTATACAAACAAGATTTGGCATAAAGCCCAAACCGTTTCCGGTGCCTACCCAATCTGGTTCGACTCAAAACAAACACCAAACATTTTCTAACTTTTGATGTTTTGAAGGGACACAAAAGCAGATTATGTGTCATGAATAGAATACATGAACACTGTATCGTTGAAGAAATCTTCAGACATATTATGTACATACTTTATTAAATATATTTCAGTTTAAATCAAAACTAGAGTGAGGACCTCGATGGCGCAGTTTTTTTCAGTTAGCGCGTTCGGCTGCGATCCTTGAAGTTAAACAACTATCGCAGTGGTCGGTCATAGGATGGGTGACCCAAAAATCTTCTATCTCGAGTTCCTCCATGCTTCGGAAGGCACGTTAAGCCGTTAGTCCCGGCTACATCTGTAGTGGTTAGCACCCGCCAATCCGCACTGGGCCCGCGTGGTAGGTCATGGCCCAATCTCCCTATACCATCCATAGGGAGTCCTGTGCCCCAGCAATGAGGACATTAATAGGCTGACGATGAACAGAAGTGAGGTAAAACCTTGATCGTAAATCGTCCATAAGATAGTATCGATGCTATCGATAGCTCAGAAGAAGGCAATACTATCGAATGAGTGCAATACTATCGATGCTATTGTAGTTCGTTAATAACAAACTATTGATAGTATCGATAGTGTTGATTTTATCTGCAACAATACTATCGATAGTATCGATACTATCGATAGTATCGATAGTATGTTATTAACGAACTACAATGCTATCGATAGTATCGATACTATCGATAAGCCGATCGATTGTCATGCGAATGGTTGGCTATCGATAGACTACCGATTAATCATCGATAGTCGACTATCGATCGGCGACACTATCGCTTACCTTTACGGCAATATTTCGTTTAAAGAGCCCACCCACATCATTTGTAGTTGAAGCCGTGCACATTCTATGATAATATTAACAAAATATTTTTAGAATTTTTCCCTTTTCGGTAGATACTTACGGGACCCTATAAAGAATATTTTTCTCACATTTCAGCTTCGTGAGGCGAGCGAATCTTACAATACAATATATTACAACAATAAGTTGGGCGATTAAGCATCTCTGTGATTTCGACAGAGCGATTACGATGTTCCTTATTACCGAGTCACAAGGTTTAATTTAGCGACGGCGACCGCTTAGTGCATTTCGTCTGCATGAGCATTGCCCCATTTCTTTAGCTAGTGGGTCGTTTGTGCCCTTTCGCCGACGCCATTAGGTCTACGCGAGCTTGCGTTATTGCGGGCCACTACCATTTGTTTCGAGACTCGAAACTCACGAGGGACTTTGAATGCAACGTGGGGTCGAGCCACCCTAAAACATTTAAAGAACCATGGGACTTTTTCACCATTTGTGCAAATAAACACATCATTAAAAAAATCCAATTATGTATTTATTAAGGAGGAGCTCGATGGTGCGGGTGGTTACCGCGTTCGGCTGCGATCGTTGAAGTTAAGCAACTTTCGCAGTGGTCGGTCATTGGATGGGTGACCAAAAATCTTCTATCTCGAGTTCCTCCGTGCTTCGGAAGGCACGTTAAGCCGTTGGTCCCGT